AGGCATCGCAGGGGTGCCGCTCGACACACAGACATCGCAGGGGTGCCGCTCGACACACAGGCATTGCAGGGGTGCTGCTCGACACACAGGCATTGCAGGGGTGCTGCTCGACACACAGACATCGCAGGGGTGCTGCTCGACACAGGCATCGCAGGGGTGCTGCTCGACACAGGCTGTTCATCCACAGCTGAGCTCTGCTTCTGAGTGATGCCGGTGTGGTCAGAAGGGTAGCCCATCTAAACAAGTGGCTCCTGGGTCTGTTGGGGTGACTCTGTAGGTAATGTGCTGCCCACTTGCCTCTATAATGCTAGCACCAGATAGGCAGAGACGAGGGTCCTGGAGGTCACTGGCCAGCCAGTCTAGCTGAGTCAGTGAGCTCCAGGTTCAGTGAGAGAGACCGTCTCAAAAAATACGAGGTGTAGAGCAACCAAGGAAAGACACTTGATGCTGACCTCTGGGCCTCCAAGCATGCATGGATACATGTGCCCATAAACACATACACACACACACAAGTGAAACTTAAAAAAAAAAAAGCATAGAACTTGTAAATTTGACTCACGGATCCCTTTTAGTAAAAGTCACTTATTTTTTTCATGTCTGGCTGTAGCTGTTACCAGGGAGCTCACGGCAGGAGTGTGCTGAGACGCCTGGCTGGGTTGACTCCTCTCTCTCTCTCCCCCCTCTCTCCCTCCCTCCCTCCCCCTCTCCCTCCCTTCACAGGCTTGTCCTCTGGCGCACATAGGGATGGATGGGTGAAGCCCACCTGGGCTGTGGCACTGCCCAGCATCCATCGTCTGCCCCAGGCCCCTCGGTGGCGATAGGATGCACCTCTCTGCCGTGTTCAACGCCCTCCTGGTGTCTGTGCTGGCCGCGGTCCTCTGGAAGCACGTGCGGCTGCGGGAGCATGCGGCCACCCTAGAGGAGGAGCTGGCGCTTGGACAGCAGTCCCTGGACCCAGTCTCGGGGCTGAGGATCGACTACCCGAAGGCCCTGCAGGTCCTCACGGAGGGCGGCACCCACATGGTGTGCACGGGCCGCACCCACACAGACCGCATCTGCCGCTTCAAGTGGCTCTGCTACTCCAACGAGGCGGAAGAATTCATCTTCTTCCACGGCAACTCGTCCGTGATGCTGCCCAATCTGGGCTCCCGGCGCTTCCAGCCGGCCCTCCTGGACCTGTCCACTGTGGAGGACCACAACGCCCAGTACTTCAACTTCGTGGAACTGCCCGCCGCCGCCCTGCGCTTCATGCCGAAGCCGGTGTTCGTGCCTGACGTGGCCCTCATCGCCAACCGCTTCAACCCCGATAACCTCATGCACGTCTTCCACGACGACCTGCTCCCCATCTTCTACACGCTGAGGCAGTTCCCCGGCCTGGCCCAGGAGGCCCGGCTCTTCTTCATGGAGGGCTGGGGCGAGGGCGCCCACTTCGACCTTTACAAACTCCTCAGCCCCAAGCAGCCGCTGCTGCGCTCGCAGCTCAAGACGCTGGGCCGACTGCTCTGCTTCTCCCACGCGTTTGTGGGCCTGTCCAAGGTCACCACCTGGTACCAGTACGGCTTTGTCCAGCCCCAGGGCCCGAAGGCCAACATCCTCGTGTCCGGCAACGAGATCCGGCAGTTCGCCCGCTTCGTGACCGAAAAGCTGAATGTGAGCCACGCGGGGGCGCCCCTGGGCGAGGAATACATCCTGGTCTTCAGCCGCACCCAGAACAGACTCATCCTGAACGAGGCAGAGCTGCTGCTGGAGCTGGCACAGGAGTTCCAGATGAAGACGGTGACGGTGTCCCTGGAGGACCACAGCTTTGCAGACGTGGTGCGGCTGGTCAGCAACGCCTCCATGCTAGTCAGCGTGCACGGGGCCCAGCTGGTCACCGCCCTCTTCCTGCCCCGCGGGGCCACCGTGGTGGAGCTCTTCCCCTACGCTGTCAATCCTGACCACTACACCCCCTATAAGACGCTGGCCACCCTGCCCGGCATGGACCTGCAGTACGTGGCCTGGCGGAACATGATCCGGGAGAACACGGTCACGCACCCCGAGCGGCCCTGGGACCAGGGGGGCATCACCCACCTGGACCGGGCGGAGCAGGCCCGCATCCTACAGAGCCGGGAGGTCCCCCGGCACCTGTGTTGCCGGAACCCAGAGTGGCTGTTCCGAATCTACCAGGACACGAGGGTGGACATCCCGTCCCTCATGCAGTCCATCCGGCGTGTGGTGAAGGACCGGCCAGGACCACGGAGGCAGAGGTGGACAATCAGCCTGTACCCGGGCAAGGTGCGGGACGCCCGGTGCCAGGCGACCGTGCAGGGTGCCGCTGAGGCCCACCTATCGGTGTCCTGGCAGATCCCATGGAACCTCAAGTACCTGAAAGTGCGGGAGGTGAGGTACGAGGTGTGGCTGCAGGAGCAAGGGGAGAACACGTACGCGCCTTACATGCTGACCCTGCAGAACCACACCTTCACCGAGAACATCAAGCCCTTTACCACCTACCTGGTGTGGGTCCGCTGCATCTTCAACAAGACCCTCCTGGGACCTTTTGCAGACGTGCTGGTGTGCAGCACGTAGCCCGTGGCCGGGCCTCAGGATGGCGGGGCTTTTGCGGCTCAGCTTCCCAAGGTCCGCAGTCCTGCTGGCGACTGTGGTGACGACTCACCCGTTTACTGAGCAGGCCCGCCCCCGGCGTCTTCTTACTGCTGTGGGTGTGCTGTTTGCAGGACCCTTTGCCCTGAAGACGCGGGTGTCCGCCCCCCTCTGCCACCCTGGTCATCCCCCCGGGAGGAATGCCTCTGTGGTGAGGAGGAGGCACAGGCAGGCCCCAGGGATCTGCTCTCGATAATCGATTGTGCTGTTCCTTCTGTGGCCTTGGTACAGGTCCTGGCTTCTAGAAAGAGTGGTCATGTGGTTGGTTGGTGGGCTAGGCAGATAGGTCTCTGCGAATTTCACCTGTAGCTGGGTGACAGGTTTGTTGGGGAGCAGTCATTAAATGATTGCGCACATCTTGGGTCAAGTCCTTTAATGTCTTATTAGCGTATGGGAATTATACCTTGTAATGGGTTTCATATGGCGGCTTCACTTCGGTCCCGTTCACCCTGCTAACCTTCCCTGTTCCCCCTCCTACTGAACCTTTGCCCCACAGATGAGAGTTCCGTGGTCACTCACCCTCTGCACTTTGACCAGTTCCAGTCTCCAGGTATTACCGCTGGCCGCCGCGAAACGAAGCCCCGACAAGGCCAACAGCAGCATCGATCCGTGGGCATGGAGGGTTGGTTTTTCAGACAACAGTTTCATAGGCATGTCATATCCATGAAACATAACAGCAGTAGTTCCACATTAGAGCCCATGACCTCCCCAACCGCAGGCTTTTTTAACGGGTTATACCGTCAAACTTGAATTCTCTCCTGTGGAACGGCCTTCAAATCCAGTCGGAACACAGTTGGCTGCTCCCCCCCCATAACAGACCCGCCACTATCGCATCAGTAGATACATCTTGCCTGGCTGGTTGGTATTGTTGCAGAGTCTGCAGCCAAGTGAGACTGTTGTTATCCGCCTGCCCCCTGACAGAAGCCTGTACAACACTTTATAATACTATGAGGGTTAGTGGGCAGGGAGGAAGCTTCCAGTTCCAACTTGATGTCTCTGTCCCGTGACAGGTGTTCGGTGTCTCAGCTGTAGGGTTTTTATCATTTAGCACTGGTGGGCAACTAACAGAGTGTCGAATGCCTCTATTTGGGGGTGGCCTTAGGAGCTACCTTAAGCTGGCAGCTCACAGGGAGATAGCCTTTGGGCAAGTCTTCTTGGACAACAGTTAGCAAAGTTAGCAGTGTGATGGGGAAGTCCTGTGTATATGTCAATAAAGCACTGTTGGCCAATAGGGAAGCAAGATAGGTGGGACTAGGAGTCCAGGAGGACTCTGGGTAGGAGAAACACAGGGAGTCATCATGTAGCCCGCCAGAGAAGTATGTCCATCCGGTAAGAGAAATATTTAGATGGATTAAATATTTAAGTCAGAGCTAGCCAGTAAGAAACAAGCAAGGCCAACAGCTTCATAATTAATACAGCATCTTGTGTGTTATTTGGGGACTACAACGCAGCAGAGTCCAGGCGACTGGCAGGGAAAAACCAAAGCGGCTGGCAAGGAAAAGGCTTCTCTCTACAGCAGTGAGTACCCAGATGTCAAGGGAGATGACACAGTGGGTAGGGTAGGATTCAGGACTGTGAGGGAGCACATTGTGCCCACCCATGTGGGCAATGTCTTACACAGAGGCTGTAAAGAGGAGTGCATCTGCCGGGGACAGCCATACAGTCACCTGGGTAGTGCTTGGCCACCTTCTCCCCGATTCAGTGAAACCATGGACACACTGTCATTAAAGCCAGAAGATGTAGATACTGCGGTAGCTGTTACTCAACCTTTCCTCCCAACGAATGAACAGTGAAGGTCACACAGCATCGTAAGTGAGGAAAAATTAAAAATAAAACTGAAAAATTGGCTTCCCCCTTAAAGACTCATGTAAACATTTTATCTAGAGGGCTAGGGGCGATTACTCGGCAATTAAAAATCACCGGCTGCTCTCCCAGAGGACCCAGCTTCGTTCCCTGCACTCACGTGGCAGCTCACAATCATCTGTAACTCTGGTTCCAGAGGATCCGGTGACCCCTCCTGGCCTCTGTGGGCGCCTTGTGCATGCACAGACATACATGCAGACAAAACTCTCTCTCTCTCTCTCACACACACACACACACACACACACACACGTTCTAAGTGGATACTCATGCTACCAAACAGAATAAGGTAATTGACTAGAACAGTGCCCTGTTGAAGTAGGGAGTCGGGAAACCCTATAAGCAGAGCACAGCAAGCTCACAAGGGAGCCTCTGTGCTTGGGGATTTATCTGATAAGAGCGTACTTTCAGATCGGTGGGAACAGAATAGACTCTGGAGCAAGGAAGCTTCAGTTACACCCCTAACTCAAATGCAAATTTCATACGAAAAGACAGGGGAGTAAAAGCGTGCACAGATGATATTTCAGTCATCTGAAGGAGCAACAGCCTAAGAAGACAGGAACACTGGGAGACTCACAGGCAAAAATGAACGAGTTTGACTGCACGGAGGGGTTTCCTGCTTCATAAAAGACAGAGTCAAGCCATAGATGGCAGACTGAGAGGAAACAGACAGGTCTAACAGCGAGGCCTGAGTGCATGCAGCTCAGAGTCCAAACCCTGACGCACAGCCAAGGAAGGCACAAACGCCTTACACTGAAGAGTCGGCCCACAAAACACACGCAGTGGCTAACGTGGAAATAAAGATCGTTCCTACAATAACAGGGGGAAATCAGTTTTTATAACAGGCTTCTCCCTGTTGCCATTGGGAAGATGGCTCAGTGGTTAAGAGCATTTGTTGCTCTTGTGGAGGACGACACAGAGTTCCGTGCGTGGGCGTAAACAGCCAGAGCTGAGAAGCAGAGGGAATGTGAGGCTGGAGGCCCTCCACCATCCCCAGGCAGGTGAGCCATCCCATGGCCCCCGCAGGCTCCTCCAGCTGCTGGCTACTCCCATTTGTCAGCGGAATGGTCAGCTGTTGTCAAGGAAATGCTGTCACTGGGAGGAGCACTCACCGGCTCAGGTTTACATTGTGGGCAACCCTCCCCGGCAAGGTGAGCTCTGCCCAGCTCTGCCCAGGCAGCAATGGGCTCACGGGTCCCTGTCCCCGAAGAGCGTGAGGTTGTGCTCCTGTATGTGTCTCAGCAGGACCTGCCCTCGCCTCTCCAGCGTCTCAAGGACGCGCTTCAGACCTCTGGCTCCGCCTTGGCTCTTCCAGAACGCCTGGTCCATCTGCAGCGACCTGAGCAGCAGGTTCCGTAGACACCCCGATGCGAGAACCTTCACAACGGACTCGGGAAACCTGGGGTCGAAGCCCCAGAGCCCATGCAAGAAGGGAAAGGCCTGAGTGAGCTCAGAGAGTCTCCACAAAGTGGGGACCCCAAACTTGCCCCCCACCTGGGGAGCGCAGCACAGCCAGGCAGGGACGTGCCGGCTCTGTGCCTGGAAGCTCCTCGTCAGAGGAGTCTGCAGCCTGCCGTGTCCTGAAAGCAGATGGTAGAGATCTCTGGGCCCCAGCTTAAAGTGAAACCTGGAGGACCAACCCTACCACTCTGGGCTCAGCTGGGCACACTTGGGGCCCCAGAAGTCCCTGAGAAGGCTGAGCTGCCTACTGGGGAAGGTCCCTAGGCTAGCTCTTTCACCTAGATCCAGGATGAGCTAGCCTTCACACACTGAAGCAGGACAGCTGGTATTCTGCAGGAATATCCAGGTCCCCCTCTGGATACAGGAGACGGGCCCAGTGACTGTAGCCCCTTCTCAGCCTTCCTCAGCCCCTGCATCCTCAGATCCAGCTTCGGTCTGATGGACTTTAGCCCTCTGAGGAGATGTAGTTGAAGGTCCCACAGCCTACAGCAGAGCCACCAAACCTCACCCCTCAACCCTACCCAGCGCCCTGGATCCTCACCCATGTATGCCTTCCAGCAGCCGGAAGTTCAGCTTGTCCTCGGGATGCTGAAGGTTGCCAGCATTGTCTATGTACACCAAGTGGGATGGGTCACTGCTCCGGACCTCGGGGGAGGAAGATGGACAGGGGCAGCCACTGGTAAGGGCAGAGTGTAACTCAGCTTCAAGGGCATCCTCAGCTGCCTGTGCCGCAATCTCCCCACTTGTCCACAGGGGTCCCGTGGCTGAGGGCTTACTCTACACCAGCCCTGTGTACCGTCTGCAGATCCTCCCAGCGGCCATAGGAGTCATAAAACTGTTAGGCAGTTTACATCAGATCACACAGCTAATAAGCGGCTGGGGCAAAACTCAAACCTGGATGCATGGCATCGAGTCATAATTGCACCTTCTAAACTGCAAGGCAAGGGGGCTGATTCCTGGTACAGTGGCTAGCAGGGTCGGGAGCATGGGTGGGAACCAAACTTGCAGGTGCAAAAGGAAAACGCATACTCCTCAGGGTCAAAAAGGTTCATGTCATATCACACACAGGTATCTCTCTCTCAAACACACACACACGCACACACCATCTCTCCTGCCATTTGTGCTTAAGTATCACCAAGAACAGGCAACCGTGTCCTTTATCTCTGTAGATCACTGGCCACACCCTAATTTCATAGGAAGAGTCTTCAGCATCTCTTAAATCCTTTCCACACTGAAGCAGGAAACACGGGATTCTCTAGTGCTTTAAAAATATGGCATGGGGCCGGGGAGACAGCTCAGGGGGCCAAGGGCTTAGCATGCATTTATGAGAACCTGAAAACTCAGAACCTCAGAAAAAGGCCAGGTGAGGCCGTGTGTGCCTGCAATCCCAGTGAGGTCATGTGTGTGCCTGCAATCCCAGTGAGGTCATGTGTGTGCCTGCAATCCCAGTGAGGTCATGTGTGTGCCTGCAATCCCAGTGAGGCCATGTGTGTGCCTGCAGTCCCAGTGAGGTCATGTGTGTGCCTGCAGTCCCAGTGAGGTCATGTGTGTGCCTGCAATCCCAGTGAGGCTGTGTGTGTCTGCAATCCCAGTGAGGTCATGTGTGTGCCTGCAATCCCAGTGAGGTCATGTGTGTGCCTGCAATCCCAGTGAGGTCATGTGTGTGCCTGCAATCCCAGTGAGGTCATGTGTGTGCCTGCAGTCCCAGTGAGGTCATGTATGTGCCTGCAATCCCAGTGAGGTCATGTGTGTGCCTGCAGTCCCAGTGAGGTCATGTGTGTGTCTGCAGTCCCAGTGCTGAGGAGCATCGGGAGGAGGGTTCCCTGGGGCTAAAGATCAGTCTAGCCAAGTTGGCAAGCTCTAAGCTCAGTGAGAGACCCTGTCTCAAAAACTGAAGTGAGGAATGACAGAGGAGAGCACCTGGTGTCAACCTCTGGCCTCCACACGAGTGTCCTCCAGGGAATGCACACGCCCCTAAACTCTGGTGTTTGGCAATAACGGGCCATCTCCTCTGGCCTACTCCCACGCACACACTGTTTTCCACACACTCTCCAGGATTCCATGCTACTTCCCATAGCCATTCCAGGCTTCAGAACCCAAGCACTCCCTCGGGCTGCCTCTTCTCTTTCCCACTCAGAGCCCGGGTACCCAACTCGACCTCAGAGTTCCTGGAAGAGTCTTAAGGAGCAGTGAAAATGGCTTCACACACATACCCATCCCACCTCAGCTGCATGCCCGCTGTCCATTTTGTCTGTTTTATAATATTTGACTTCCTAGGAGTCTCACTTAAGCCAACGTTTGCCGGCAAAGAGAAGAAGCCGGGAGTCGGGGGGGGGGGGGGACCCCTGTGTGCAGCCTTCAGGAGCATCCTCCCGCGGGAGAGAGGCGGACCCAGCGCTCACGCGGCAAGGCACCGCGCATGCACACAGAAGAAACGTACCAGGATGTGGACCAGCCGCAGCTCTTCCGGGTTCCGACACTTCTCTCGGAGCCCCTCTTCCACACAGGGGTCCGAGGGTTCGGGCTCAAAGCCACAGCAGTAGCGATCCAGGCGATCGTGGACCTGCGGAGAAGGCCGGCATGGTACCTGTTTTCTCCAGACCCAACGTCAAGGCCACTTGGCCCGCTGGGCTAGGAGGGGGAATCTACCCTAATCCTTTCTCTGTCTAAACTCGGGTCAGCATGCTGAAGATGAGCCCGGGTCACAGGACCCCTGTGTCCTCTCCTGCCTGCCTGTCACCACTCCTCGTCTCCTTAAATCGGCGTGTGAGGAAGGGTGGCCAAGCCGCGTCCATTAAGGCTGCCAGAGCCAGTCCTCTGTCCTGAAACCCCGGGACCTCACACTGACCCCGGATAGCGTCAGACTGAGTTGAGGCAGCAGGTTGGTGTCACAGAGCCTGCCGGGGTTAAGTCGATCACGGCCAACAGCCACTGCCACCCTTGCCTCGGTTTCTCCTCACTGCAGACGCTATCGTCCTGAGGCCAGGCACGCTCCCAGTCACAAAGGGGAAGGCGTGCAGCTGGGATTCGAGGTTGAAGTTGTTGCATGTGGCCGTGTGGAGAGCCACGTAGGCAAAGGAAAGATTTAAAGCAGGCATATGCTTTGGGCATGTGGTTGTAAGAGTTCTGTCGTCTGCAGTCCTGGGAGGGACTGAGCAGAGGGCCCCCCCCCAGGAAGCACTAGCCTTCCCCAGCTCTCCCAGACAACAGGCCCAAGGCCCGGAGTCCAACGTGGAGTAAGATGACACGGCTGCAGGCAGGCCTAGCATTTGGAGAGCAATGGTGTTGCATGCTGGTTAGGGCTCTGCCAACTGGACACAAGCTGTGGTCATTCTGAAAGAGAATCTCATTTAAGAAACTGCCTCTTCCGGTTCCATTAAGTCTGTGAGGCATTTTCTTTATTGATGAGTGATGTAGGTTGGGTGCAGCCCACTGTGGGTGGTGTCAGCCCTACACAGGTGGTCCTGGGTGTTCTAACAAACCAGGGAGAACAGGTCGTGGGGGAGCATGCTGGCGAGCAGCACCCAACCGTGGCCTCTGCTCCAGTCCCTGCCCTGAGTCTCTTCATGATGGGCTGCAAGCTGTAAGGTCAAATAAACCTTCCCTTCCCAAGCTGCTCTTAGTCAGTGTGCTTACCACGGCAGTAGAAACCAAATTAGGACAGTGTGTAAGCCAGAAAACCCCGCCTGCTTGCGTTGCCTTTGGCTGGAGGCTCAATGCTGAGGCAGCCCTGGTGAGATTGGACCATGCACTTGGTAACTGCTCTCCCCTGGACATACAGCCAGAGCCGGCTCAGAACCACTGTTTCTGCCAACACCCCCCTCCCCACCGACACCGCCAGATCTCCAGGAGTAAGCACGTGACCGTGCTCCTGCCAAGGCAAGCCAGCACAGGACTCCTGCTCCTGCCCCCATCCCCACCTCCAGGCTGCTCTATCCAGATTTCCCGTCATGCAGCATTTACTTGCAGAGCAAGGAGTGTCAGCCAGCATAACATGGGCAGCGTTGACCCCTGAGGTCTACGTCCACCTGGACCCCTGGCAGGAGGAGCGTGCTCGCCCAGGTGCCAGGCTGATTATTTTGCCACGCTGTCTGTTTTTGTTTCCCCACCAGCTGGATGTGAGCAAGCTCAGTCTGCAGCCCACATTCCTTCTGGACTTCCCCCTTCCTCCCACTCTTTGAGAAAATGAGGAGTTGCCCAGGGAAATGATGATTCCATGCACTGAACCGGCCCAGCAGAGCTGCAAACTGTAACTCAGTCTGGGGCTTTCGGTCAGTGAAAGCCTTGCGCAGCTCGGGTGGTGGGGTGCCACCCTGACAGCTTTACCCGGCACAGTGTACTGGGTCCCTTCAGGCAGCGAGAGGGACACCCATTCCACTCGTGACGAGGACAGTGAGCCCTGTTAGAAAAGTGACTGCTATGCTGAAGGCCACATAGCAAGGAGTGCTGATCCATGGGGTTTGAAGCCAGGAAATCTGACTCTGACCATGAAGACAGATGGTGTGACAGGCGTACTTCTCTGGCACTCAGAGCTGTGAATTCTCGGATAGGGAAATAAACAACTGAAATAATTGCAATAAACAGCCTGACCCCAGAACCCAGAATGCACTCAACACAAGTTAAAACTTAGTGAGATCTCCTGGATGCAACAATAAATGAATCACGAACACACAGGGTCCCGGAGGAGGCCTGTGGTCACAGGAACCCACCCTCCATACCCACCCCCTGGTGTCAGGGGAGGCCTGTCACCTCCCAAACAGAATATCTGGCTGGGACAAGACACTGCAGTCCATCAAGGAAGGCCAGGGAGGGGCCCGGCACAGGCTGTGGGTGGTCCTAGTCTCGGCGAGACTCACCAGGTTCCTGGGCCAAGCCTGGCACGTTCCAGAAAAGACGCCTGGTCTTGTGGCCCACACCCTTCACCTGGGACCCTCCTCACTTCCTTTCCACCCGGGAGCCCAAGTTCCCAGAGCCTTTGCTGGGTTGGGGGTCATTCCTTCCTTCATAGAAACACAGGATCACACACACACACACACCACACACACACTCACGCACACGCACGTGTGTGCGTGCACCCCCACACACACCCCTGTCCACCTACCCAGACACACGCAGGGGCGAGGGTGAAGAATGAAATGGAGTTGGTAGAGGGGAGGGACGTGATGACCACATAGAAATCACAGCCACTCCACAGTCAGTGGAGAGCCTCCCTGGACGCAGCTGCAAGGAAAGACCATGTCTTTGATGGTCCCAAGGAGATGAAGCATTCTAGGAATAACTGATCACAAAAACGAAGAAAGACCCTGTCTCAGGGTGACTGCCGCTGTGATGAAACACCACCATCAAAACCAACCCGGGGAGGGGAGGGTTTGTGTGACTTACACCTCCAGCTAACAGTCCGTCACCGAGGGAAGTCAGGACAGGAGCCTGGGGGCAGGAGCTGATGCAGAGGCCGTGTGGGAGTGCTGCTTACCCGGTCGCTCAGTCTGCTTTCTTACAGAACCCAGGACCACCAGGCCAGGGATGGAACCACCCACAATGGTCTGGGCCCTCCTCCAGCAACCAGTAATCAAGGAAATACTCCACAGCTGCATCTTATGGAGGTGTTTTGCTTGCTCCAGCTGGATTAGGAAGTGACCGAGGGGCTGGAGAGATGGCTCAGAGGTTAAGAGCACTGGCTGTTCTTCCAGAGGTCCTGAGTTCAATTCCCAGCAACCACATGGTGGCTCACAACCCTCTGTAATGAGAGCTGGTGCCCTCTGCTGGCCTGCAGGCGTACATGCAGACACAATACTCTATACACAACAAACAAATATCTTTTAAAAAATAGGAAGTGACTGAGACCAAATGCCAAGACAAAGAGCCGGAGAGGTTGTAAACCATCCAAGGCGCTGAGGGCCTTGCTTTGTCTGACACCCTCTGACCTGTGGCACCTTCCTCTAGGCTGCAGCTTCTGCACACCTTTGCTGCAGAGGGCTTCTCCGTTGCTCCTCCGGGAGCTCCCCCAGCTGCAGCTTGACAGGGATCTGGCTACAAGCACCCTAATCCGCTCACCCCCAGACCAGCCCCGAGCCAGTCACCTTCCCGCCACTCTTGTGAGCTTCACTGTGGAGTTGGGTCCCACAGGCCCTTGGATGGCTGCCTTCTCTCCTGTGGGTAGTTCAGGAACAGTATCTCACAAGACTCATGGGCCACGCTCCAGTATCTATACGCAGTTAACAGCTGTTGGGGATGGGGGTTCCTCAGTGCACAACTGTCCATACCCTGGTAACCCCTCATCCATGTTCTCAATCATGAGAACCCCGTGAGCAACCCCACGGACTCGGGTTGGAGGACTTCAGTGGAATCATTTCTTCTCTCTCTCTGCCTCTCCCTCTCTCTCTCTCTCCATCCCTCCTTCCCTTCCCCCCTCTTCCCCCCCATCCAGGAAACATGGGAGAAAAGCCCTTGCACAGGGAAACATGGTGGTGTCAAACCCCAGCACTTTCTCCCTGGCCTCTGAGTGTTGCTAACACTCGTGGGGGGGGGCTGACAGCAAACCGACCTCAGGGAGCTGCATCTGAAGTCTGTGGGCAGCCATCGGGCCATCGGTCACACAGCACCTCAGGTGCCCGTGCAGACACGCACACACTCTGCAGCCTCGCTGAGGTTTCTAGGAAGTTGCTGTCAGCCAGAGCGCTGTTTTTCTTGACCGCTGTCCGGCAAACTAGGGAGAAAGATGTGTGTGCCTTGGCTGCAGAGATTTCTGTTCCCTCTGCAGACTTTGGCAGCTGAGGAAGGGTCCCATGCTACAGCTCTGGAGAGAAACAGAGGTCCTCTGTGCAGAGCAAAAAGCTATGGTGAGCACATTGCTGGAAACGGCTGCTCCCTGGGTCTCGGGGCTCCCGGTCCTCCCTGCAAATGTCCCCCTCTGCTCCCATTATTGGCCAGCTCAATAGTGACTCTGTGAGAAGGGAGTGAGCTCCGGCCTGTGCCAGCCAGCATGCCTCCAAGTCCCCTGGCTGTGACCTTAGACAAGGAGCTTAACCTCTGGACCTCAATGGCTCCATTTTATTTTCACTAATAATTACAGGTGTGTGTGTGTGTGTGTGTGTGTGTTCTCACGTGTCATGAAGGTGTATATGCATATGTGAATGCCTGCATGTGTGGGGTCTGGGGGTCATCTTTGAATGTCTTCCTCGGTTACTTTTTGAGACAGGGACTTGCACTGAACTTGGAGCTCACTGTCCACCTGGCTGTCCCCCCCCAGCTCTGGGACTGCAGGCTCATACTGCTTGGCTGGGTCTTCCAGTGTCTGTGTTGGGGTCTCAGGTCCTCATACCGACACGGCAAGTGCTTTAGTGAGGAGCCTCTCTTCCCAGCTCCACATGTTTATGCAGAGCATCATCCCCAGCGTGTGTGACTACAAAATCAAAGTGTCAATCAACCAAAGTGAAGTGCTGGAGATGCCCTATATCCTGCAGTGCCACAACGAACTCTTCACTTAAAATAAATGAGCACATACCTCTCATTAATATACAGTTTGCTTTCACCTTTAATAAATGGCAAGATCTTATGTATACCTGAGAACTGTTTTAAAATAAATATTTCATTTATATACCATTTTTACATTGCTATATATCCAAGGTCAGATAAAAATTTATTGGGTAAGCCAGGTTGCGGCAGTGGCACATGCCTTTAATACAGTACTCAAGAGACAAAGATGGGCAGATCTCTGTGAGTTTGAGGCCAGCCTGGTCTACAGAGTGAGTTCCAGGACAGACTCCGAAGCTACACAGAGAAACCCCGTCTTGAAAAACAAAACAAAAATTCTTGGGTAAAACAAGGTTACAAATGGAATTTTTTTGTTGTTGGTAGTGGTTGAGTTTTTTTTATGTTGTTCTGTTGTTTTGTTTTTTAATGTGTGTGGATGTTTTGCCTACACATATGTCTGGGTACCATGGGCATGTCTAATGCCTGACAAGGGCAGGAGACAGCATCAGATTCCTGGGAATGGAGTCACAGACAGCTGTGAGCCACTATGTGGGTCCTGAGAATCAACCCTTGGTCCTCTACAGGAGCATCCAGTGTTCTTAACAACTGAGCCATCTAGCTGGCCCCTGAATGGAGAGTGTTTAAGCAGCACTGCTCTAGGGTACCACAGGATAAACAGGCAGAAATATTACGAGATCAGTTGCTTGATAATAAAGCCCAGCATAGTGAGGAGGGGGCATCCCGACCAGGCAAAGCTGGCCTTCACCTGAAACTTCCTAACTCCGTAGCGCACTCCACCCCACTGCCCAACCACACCTACCTGAAGCAGGAAGTCAAAGAGGGCCAAACGCGCCCACTCGCCATGGTGGATGCCCAGGCATGAGATCTGACCTGGCCAGCTGCAGCCTCGAGCCAACAGGGCCTGGTACTGCAACCAGCCCAAGGCCAGAGAGTTCTGGTCCTCATCTGGGTCTCCTAAGTGCTGCACATCGGGTGCCCACCAGACGACGGGCCTCAGACTGCCATCTGTGTAGCGGTAGGGCAGAAGGGGACTGTGGAAGCTCCGGGCTGCGGCAGGCAGGCTCCGCTGGAGGCCCAGCACACGGTCCACATGAAAGGATAGGACTTCGTGCAGGTCCCTGGGCCTCTTGATCAGGCCGCAGAGGCCCTGGGAGCACAGCTGCCCGAGCCCGAGAGGAGACGCGTCCTGGAGGGCACCCTCAGCAGACAGTCCGACCTGCAGCACCTGCCCATGGGCAGGGATCCTGGCTTTGCCCACCACCGCCCCCCGGGCCAGCAGCCCGAGAATCTGTACGTCATGTTCTGTGAACCACGGTGGAACCTGCCCCCCAGTCGCAGCACTGTCCCATAACCCAGGGGGCTCGGTATGGCACCATGGGGACCTTTGGAGCTCTCCAACAGAGCCAGGCCACCAATGAGTTCTGGAACCTGAGGTGGCACCCCCAACCTTCCCGCCACTCAAGACTCTGTCCTTGACTCCTGGCAGGGAACCCCCACCTTCAGCTGATTGGGGCCTAAGGCTCACTACAGCAGTTCCTCTCCGTGCCTGGGAAGTTGCCAGGCTGCTCCCTGTGAGCGGGCTAACCAGGGAGTCTGCCTTGCTCTTTGTCTCTTGGACAGGAGGAGCATCGTGCCCAGGTTGGTCCAGGACTGTTCCTCCTGCATCCCCGACCTCATCCTCCACTAATCGCACAGGATGCCGGGCACTGAGTGTCGGACCTCCTGTCACATCTCTTCTGACCCTCGGTGTGTGTCTGCTTCTGTCCACACGCCTTCCGTGGCTCTGCTTCTCAGCACAGACTGGGGCTGGATTTCTGGGCAAAGCCCGGCCTTTCCGGAAGCTCGGGTTTCTTGCCCGCTGCCTCTGGCTGGAGTTCAAAGTCTGCCAAATGCTGGAGTCGGGCTCCATGGGACCAAGTCCTGGAGTGGAAGCTGGATGCTCTGGAGGAAGGTGAGTGACAGCCACCGCAGACAGAATCATCAGCAGGCAGGATGCCATCACCGGCCGCTTCTTGCCACGAAGCCTTCTCCAGAGCCAGGACGCCTGAGGATAGGGTAAAAAAGAGGGCATGAGAGTCGGGAAAGCCACCAACTTCAAGCCACAGAACAACGAAGACGGCGGACAGCGTATAAGGGACAGGAAACAATGGCAGGACGCCCAACTGCCCCTCGAGGAGGAATGTGATAGCCCAGCCAACTGTACCCCGACTTCAGAGATGGCTTGCTTCTGGAGCCAGCCTGGCTGATCCTTACCCACACACCTGGACTTCCCTGGGTAAGCTACCATATGACAACGATCACCACACCTCATAGCAGATGATCACCACACCTCATAGCAGACCCACGCACAGACGTGGCTCTCCACCCACCGTCTAGCGCTGGCCCCGTTCGTTATTAATCCTGTGGTCTTTATCACCGTTTCAAACACAAACACAAGCAGAGCATCCACAGAAAGGCCAAGTCATGCTAAGGAAACCAGAGCAAAGGGCTCAGCCGTGGAGAGCACACACTGCTCTCTCCCAGCGGACCCGAGTTCAGTTCCCAGCACCCACACTGCAGCTCATGGCTACCTGTAACTCTGCTAGCGTGACATCTGGTTCCGTCTTCCAGTCTCCATGGAATACCCATACTCAAACAGAAACACACACACACACGCACACACACACACACACACACACACACACAAAACTTTAAGATGAAGAGAAAATTGGAGGTGGGGGACACGCCTCCTTCTGCATGCAGGAAGCCGTGACCCTAACCTGAGGGCATGCCACAAATGCTCCACTAAACATCCAGCGCACACGTCTCTGCAGAGACAGCTCAGAATCTCTACAAGCGACACCAAGAGGAGTTTTTGGTCCCCACTCCCCATCATCCCTTGCCACGGTGTTCGAACTCCTTTAACCGACAGAATGATGGAGAAGTCGGATCACATAATTCCTGTTTTAAAGCTAAGAGCAGGAAGACCATGGCCCGTGAGCATGGATGGAGAGAGAGACTCAGACAACATTGAGAGGAGAGGTCTGTGGCAACATTGTTTGGATTCTCCTCCTCCTTCTAAAATGAAAACAAAATCAAAGATGTGTTTTCAAGCTGAATCCATAATCTGTGTTCTTGAAGGGCCGGTTACCCTGAGGAATAATAAACCCCCTTCTAAGATGGGTTGAGAGGGCGGGCTGTTTGGGTTCAGGAAACCTGGGGAGAGCTGGTGGTTGTACAGAGGGAGGCTCAGACAGACGGCCATGGGCAGATGTCCCTGCAGGGCCACACACGTGAAACTTTGGGAAAACAAAGGCGTTTGCGAAAAGGCAAGGAGAGAGTCGGGAGGAACCTTAGTTGACCTTCCCCGCATGCCAAGACCTCCCTCCTGCCAATTTTCAATATCCCAGAACATGCGCCGTCTTCCCCGAGAGGACCGTGGCAGAAGCAACGCGGAGGAATATCCTGCCCCCTGCCCGGCTCAGCAGGCGCTCACGTCTCAAATCCCACCCACGACCAGACACCAGGACATCATCCAGGTCCTGCAGGGAAGAAGCCACCAGCCAATAACTACATCGTCCCAGAGCTGCAGAAGAGAGGGAAAGACAGAAAACCCACCGCCCAGGCACCCTGGGTCCAGGTCTGAGCTTCCAAAGCTATGAATGATGTATGAGTCAAGGGATTACTGCTCCCTCCAGGGGCCCACGTGAGGATTCAATCAATCAAACTATGTAATAGGCCTAAGGCACCCTCCCCATGAGTGCTGGGGGGGTCACCACTACACCCTCCCTATGAATTTTGGGGTTACCACTGCACCCTCCCTATGAATTTTGGGGCCACTGCTGCAACCTTCCCATGAATTTTGGGGTCACCATTGTAGCCTTCCCATGAGTGTTGGGGGTCACTGCTGCTCTCTCCTGCTGTGGTCTGATAGGTGCCTGTGTTTGAACACTTGCCTCCCAGCAGCTGGCGGCACTTCAGAAAGTTGTGGGACCTTTAGGAAGTCTTGATGGAGGAAGGGGGTCACTGGGGAGGATGGGCCTTGAGTCCTGCGATGTGGCCCACTCCTTTATGCTCCTCCCACTGCCATGGTCCCTGCCACGACGAACCGCCCTCCTCCTCAAACCCTGAGCCAAGTAAGCCCTTCCTCCAAGTTGCCTCTTGCAAGGAGAAAGGTAACACCAGCCCCCACTTTCCAGACAACTCGTCTTTCTGGGGGCCTAAAAACCAGCCCCTCCTGTCTGGCACATGGTAAGATCAGGATACCCAAGGCAGAGGCATAAAAGAAGTTTTTTTTTTTTATGGTAAAACCTCAAGTGTGGGCTTGCAGGGTCCAATAGAGGCCCTGTCCACGGATGAGAGAGGGATGGGCCAGAGAGTTTGGGTGACAACATGTGGGTGAGCAGGGCCAGGGAGAAGGAGGGGCCAGGGGATGAATAGAGGGGATCAAAACGAGACACAGTCCCCACAGGAGGATGGAGCTGCCTTAGTAGCTGGGTCTTCCGTTTTATTTTCTTAATTCTTATGATGTTTAATTTTGTATTGTATATGTTTACATGTGTGTGTAAGTGTGTATGAAGTCCTATGTGTGTATATGGGTGAGCCCTGTGATAGTGTGTATGTGTAAATCCAGTCACAGTGTGTGTTTCATTTGTTTTGTGTTGTATATGTTTACAAGTGTGTGTGTGTGTATAAGTCCTATGGGTTTATATGTGTGAGTCCTGTGATAGTGTGTATGTGTAAATCCAGTCACAGTGCATCTGTGAAAGTCCTGTGCCTATGAGAGTGTGTGTCCAGGGACAGCGTCACAGTGTCCTGTGGCAGTGTGTGTGTTTAGTAAAAGTCAGCTCTGATTCTGGGGTCGTTTCTGAAGCTGTGCCAAGCCTTGGCTCCTGACCTTTGCCCCCTTCTCACCCCTCCACCCTTTACACCGGCCACCGACTCAGACTGGGGCTGGCAGAGAGTCTGAAATATGGAGATCCTGTGCCTTTTCCCTCAGCATGGCAAACTTGGCTGGGGTGAGAAGGAACGCGGTTGACTCTCAGTCAGATTAAAGCCACATGTCACACCATCACTCGTCACTGTGACCGTGGAACTCTGCTGCCCCTGTTTCCCAAAGCCAGACCCCAGGCAGGGAGCACAGTGTGGGCATGGGCTCTGGGACACAGGCAGTAGACCCGGCCACAGAGCCGCAGAGACCCCCCTCCTGACAGATCTATGGGGCATCAGGAGGCTGAGCTGTCCTTTCCACTGCGGCCTGAGTCCCAGGCTGTCTGTCTCCAACACCACCAGCTGGCCGGGTTCCAGCGCTCAGCCCCTTGGGGGATTGCGATTTTCTCTCCCCCAAGGCAGGAAAGGGCTTTCACCCCTGTAATTTCTGGCCCAGCCAATTTAAAGGAAGAAAGGCTAAGAAATGGAAGCTAAACGTTCACTCGGCATTCCTTGTGAGCCTTGGGGCTGTTTGAGGGACTTGTATTAACTCGTTGATCCTCTTGCCAGAGCTGTGAACCAGAGACCAGTGTAGTGACTTATCCATTGTCCCCATTCTACAGGGAGGAGATTGAGGCTCACACAGGCACCAAGGGCAGCATCAGGCACAAGCCCAAGCCGGCTGGCAGAGTTGCTGGTACATCCTGGCAAGGCCTCCCAGCTTGAACTCATGGAGATGATGCTAGGTTTCAGGAACGGCCCTGGCTCTGAAAGGAGACTTAACTGTTTATTACTGGCCAGATCACATGCGAAGGGAGGCGTGAACGAGACGAGAAGTGTGTGGCCACCCCTCCGGCACCAAGGCAAAAGTCACTGCCGGAGAGTAAAAATGCTTTGAGCCACACATTCATTCAAAACAAAAACTGCTGTGTTTCCTGTCTGCGTTGTTCCTTAATTTCTATGTTCAGAAGACTAACAATATCAAGTTAGAAATGCCAGGAACTGCAGTACTCAAAACAAACAAAATCAGAAGAACCAGGCAGGTTCTACACTTCCCGATTGTTCCAGAACCAGCTGGACATTCAAGACTAGAGCCCGGAAACAAGGAGTGTGTGAGGGCATTGCTCTGCCGTGACCCAGCGTCCCTCAACCCAGAGCCACCCAACGGGGTTGGAAGCAAATCGCACCTGAAATGTAAAGTGTTCTCGTAACTGGGTGTGGTGGCTTATAGCTATAATCCCAGCACTGAGAGGCTGGGGCAGGAGGATTGCTGTGCATTTGAGGCCAGCCTGGGCTACAGAATGAGACTGTCTCAAAGTAAGAAGCAGCTTCCACCCAGACAGCAGCAATGGGTCTTTCAAGAGCCCCGGGGGAGGCGCGGCCCCTTGCTGCCAGGGGTCTCCCAGAAGTCCCCAGTACACCCACCCCACCCCCGTTGTGTATGGCAGCAACTCGTGCGTGCAGTCTGCCTTTGGTCTGCTAAAGACCCGAGCATCCGTGGCCACTGGGCCAGCGAGCAGCTCTGTGGGTAAAGGCACCTGCCACCAAGACTGACGACCCCAGTTCAATTCTGAGGGCCCACGCGGTGGGGGGAGAGAACCAACTCCCACAACTTGTTCTCTGATCTACACACACACACACACACACACACCATGGCAAATTATGCCCATCCACACACACACTCACCCACAAAATAAATGCATATTTTTAATTTTTATTTTATGTGCATGAGTGTTGTATCTGCATGCATGTATATGTACCATGTGTATACCTAGTACTCATGGAGGCCAGAAGAGGGTATTGGATCTCCTGGAACTGGAGTTAACAGGTGCCAAGTAACTACTGGAAATTAAAAACCAGGTCCTCTGGAAGAGCAGCCAGTGCTCTTAATCACTGAGCCATCTCTCCAGCGCCTGACATTCTTTTTTGAAAGAACTGAACTTCCTGGACCCAAATGATTCTAGGGGACACTGGCCCCAGAACAGGGCTCCAGGACAAACACAATCACTAAAATCTTTCTCTAACCCCAGGCTATGTGACAAGTTCCCTCTCTGGGCTGGGCCACCTACCTCATCAACACACCGGCTGCCAAATCCCAACTTTATCCTTGATGTGTGGCCTTGGGCCTCAAAGGTCTTCATCTATCCAATGGGATTACAGAAATATGTTGTGGAGTATTTTAATAAGCAAAGGTGTGTTATATTTGTTTATGGTGTGGAATATTTAACTGTGTCTCTGTCTCTCTCTCTCTCACACACACACAACTGCATGGTAGTGATATTCTGAGGGGAAATGAATGTGATCCACCATTCATGAAAATCAGATCATTCAAAGCCAAGTGTGGCCCACAGTCAAATCCAATGGGTCCCAGCCAGTGCTGGCATCTTCACTTTGACCATGGCCGTGATTTTGCAGCAATGCCCCTGGGAATACCTCCATGGCAGCGGCCCTGGGACCTTCACCGGTGGAATGTGAGCTCTCTGCCTGCTCATGAGAGGACAGTATCTACCGGGTGCCAGGCTCCAGTCTTAGCCTGATTTACAGCGGGGCTTGGTGACCCACTGGCCCTAGGAGCCCCCTCCTCACACACTCAACTGGAACATCATTTCATCCCGGCTCACAAGAACGCCACTGTGGCGACACCACAAGCTAGCTGGAATGCTGGAGACCCGTCATTGGTTAGAAATTTCCTCTGTCTGCCACACATTTTGCTCTCAAATGCCAGGGATTGGGGCTGGGGTGGGGCAGAGTGAAAATTCTACCCAAAAAGTAATGTCGTGTTGCTCTCTCTCTGCTGCATCTCATATTTCTACTTTCTGACTGCTCAGAGGCCCAGGCACACAGACAATGGAGCCAGGCAGCCTTCCTGTCACAGACCTCCTCTCTTCTGAAGAAACTGGTGATGGCAGGAGATAACCACCGTAGCCTCCAGCAGGCCAAGGACTTCTATGGAACTGGACAAAGAAAAAGTTCGTGAACCAGACCAGTGAGTTAGTTCTGGTCTGCAGATGTGTTTTTGTTTGGCCTGAAGTGTTTTAAAAATAAATCTGAACTGATGTTGAAAATCCCATTAAAAAACATTCATATTTGCAACTTCCCTGGGCAAGGCAGGGGGAGGGGTAGCAATAGACACACTAGAGCCTACGTCCCCACAGTTAGAGTGGAACATGGCTCCCCCTGACCGTGGCAGGGTGGCTGGCCCCAGTATCTGTGTGTTATATGCATGCATACACACGCATACACACACACACACACACATAGAGAGAGAGAGAGAGAGAGAGAGAGACAGAGACAGAGACAGAGACAGAGACAGAGACAGAGAGACAGAGCAAGCCTCCATCTCCCAATGCTAACTTTCCTTTGACGTCTCTCCTCCTTTTCTGGGCCCACTCCCTTTCTGATGCCAGCGGCCTGGTGCGCAGTTATCGGGGCAGGGCTGCCCTGGGCAGTACAAGAGCCACTGGCCTGCACTCCACATTTGAGTTCGGAAACACCAGCTTTTTTGTTATTGTTGTTGTTCCTGGATACACTGGCCACGATCTAAGAGCTCACATGCCACTTGTGAGGGGCAGCTACCGTGTGAGACCCACAAAAGTGAGAATTTTCATAATCTCAGAAAATCCTGCCAGGCAACCCTGGGGGGAATGGAATGTAAGATGTGAGAGTCTTAACCAGCCAGGCAACGCACTGGCTGTCCCAGAACTCAGGAGACTGGGGTCAGAGGGAGAATCCAGGGCCAGCCTAGGACTCAAAAGCAAAAACAAGAGAAAGACGGAGGTGGAGACAGGAGGGGAGGGAAGGAAAGGAGAGGGGAGGGAGGAGAGGAGAGGGGAGGGGAGGAGAGGGGACTCGTGGAGAGATGAGGATTTTTGCACAGGTCCTCTGTACTTGGGCTACACTGTGTTGGGCACTGCGGGAGGAATCGCGCACATTAGGCCGCCTTCCAGGAATTCACCGCCTGATTAGGGGGGAAAAGCCAAAGAGAGCACAGCAGTCATTTGCTTCTTATTCCAAGGCTGGGCCGATGACCACGGCCGCTACTCACACCTGTCGTGATAGGCAGGGACACCAGGCATCATGGCATGATTCCACGGTGCCACCAAAGAGCTGGGAAAACCAACCCGGCTGCGACCAGTGTGTTACCTGGGTTGGTCCCGGAGTTGAGCAAGGACAGCGCCTCATAGCACAGCTCTGGGAGCAATGCAGAAAACTGGAACGAGCCCGGGACGGTCAAAAGTGACATTTGCACAATCTGATAGTCACCAGCAGCAGCAAACCAAGGAGAGGGTTAAACTAGAGAAATGTGTCATTGGAACTCCAGCCGTAGTATATGTCTGACTGTGAAGAACAGAATGCTTCTGGGCCAAGGTCTGAGGTGTAGACACAGGGAAAGGAGCATCTAATGGTGGGAAGAGGTGACACTTGTGCCTGGGCGCTCACCGTGGATCCCTGTAACTCAGCTGATACTCAGGCTTGGTGAGCCTCTATCTACCAATCTCTAAAATGGGCCCAACGATCATAGCCTATGCATCCAAAGGACTAAGGGTTCAATAAGGTAATGAATAAGAAAATCCTGAAATCCCAGCGCTTTAGCAGAATTATAACTTTGCCCTGTAACGATGTAATACAATAAGGCCCCGCGTGTCTGTCCTTACGGCTGAGGGGCATGTTCCTGCCACGGCCAACATGGTGCCCGGGACACAGTGGAAACTTGTTGAAGATTCTTTTGCTTTTACTGCTTGTTTTGGATTTTAGATGTGCTTGTGTTCGTTTGTTTCTTTGTGACAGGGTCTCACTGTGTAGCCCAGGCTGGCCTTGAACTGAGAACAACAATTCTGCCCCATCCCCTGTGCGGTCTAGCATTACGTAGGCTTCATACAAGGCTAAGTGGTTTGGGAAGAGGGAACCTCGCTTAGAAAACTCTGCTGGGGTGCTTTGAATGAGAATGGCCCCCATAGGCTCATATATTTGAAAGCTTAGTCGCCAGGGAGTGGAACTCTTTGATAGGATTAGAAGGATGAGGAGCCATAGCCTTGTTAAGGAAGTGGGGGAGGAGCTTTAAGGTTTCAAAAGCCCACGCCCAGTCTGTCTGTCTGCCTGAGGACCAGGATGTAAACTCTCAGCTACTGCCCCAGCACCTGCCTGCCGCCAGTGTCTCTGACACTGTAAGCAAACTCCCAACTAAACGCTTCATTTTATAAGAGCTGCCGGGGGGGGGGGGGCATGGTGTCTCTTCACAGCAATAGGACAATGACTAAGGCACCAGACTGGCCTGTGGGCAAGACCGGGGTGCTTTTCATAACTGGTGACTGATGTGGGAGGGCCCAGCCCGCTGTGGGTGGGGCCACCCCTGGGCTGGTGGTCCTAGGTGCCATAAGAAAGCAGGGCCAAGCCGGGCGTTGGTGGCGCACGCCTTTAATCCCAGCACTCGGGAGGCAGAGGCAGGCGGATCTCTGTGAGTTCGAGGCCAGCCTGGTCTACAGAGTGAGTTCCAGGAGAGCCTCCAAAATGATACAGAGAAACCCTGTCTCAAAAAACCAAAAAAAAAAAAAAAAAAAAGAAAGAAAGAAAGAAAGAAAGAAAGAAAGCTGGCCCAGCAAGCCGTGAGGAGCACGCGGAGAAACAGTACTCACCCAACGGCCTCTGCTTCAGCTCCTGCCCGGCTGGAGTTCCTGCTCCGACTTTTCCTCAGCAGCCAGCTGTGACACGGAACTCTAAGCTGAACAGATCCTCTTCTCCTCAAGTTCTTTACGGTCATGGTGTCTCGCCACGGCGATAGAAACCCTGACTGAGACAGCCTCTCAAAAGCTGGGGTTACCGCCGTCAAGACAGATGTATTTGTCAGGCGGGCAATGTCTAGTGGGCCAGGAGCGGAGGCCATTATAAGGACCCTCTCAGGCAAAGTGGCTTTTGATTCTCCCAGTGCCCAGATCCCACTGACACACAGAACAGAGAAACAGCCTCTAGAGATTATAAAACCGGGGATTATCCGGTCTACCTCGTGAAGCCATGGATGGGAACTTCTTAAAACAGAGAAACTGAAGACGTAGGGTTACAAAGGCTAATTGCTGACAATCAAACAGGCTAATTAAATAAACGTGCGCCCGTATTCCCCTGTGAACACAGGCTAAGCGCATCAAGCCACGGGCTTTCAGTGTAATGAGTAGATGGTACTTAGTGTGTTTCCACTCTCCCGACGGAAAATGTCAGTGATATGACCAAGCCATAGGTTCACTATCAAAGAAATGCTAGATTTAGTTAGAGGTCTGTAAAAAATAACGTTGTTAACAAGCTTAGGACTCCCTGAACTCTGTGCCCAAGGCCCCCCCTGTGCTTAAGGCTCATCGTCTCAGATTCCCATCATGGGGAAAACCTTCAGGGCTGATACCAGAGGAGCTGTCTCTCCTCCAACCCCCTTCCTTCCTGGGAGCTTAAATCACAGGGCACCCAGTGCTTCTGCTGCTTGCTGCTTGGAGGACTGGTTGGTGCCAAGGCAGCCCCAGAGGCAGACCCCACGCCCCCTTTGCTGTCTTAAGTACGACAACTTCCCTGCTCCCGTTGGTTGGCTGAGTGTGGCAGTGTGCTTAGACAGGCACAGAGGGGATCCCCACCCCTTACAACACAGTGTACACAACCCCACACCTGCAGACACTGCAATCTGCAAGGGAAACTGAGGCTAGGGGCTAAGTGTTCGCAGACTGAGCCCAGGGGGTGGGCAGAGTTTGAATCCAGGACCCACCTTCTGAGCCCTTCATGCTTTAAAACTATGCCAAAGAAGGTATCATGAAAGTCTAAAGCTAGTCACCCCGGACCACTGCCGCAAAGGGCAGCGAGCGTGATGGAGGAGGCAGGGACTTCTCCTGACTCCCAGGGAAGTGACAAGGCAGGGCGTCACTCACTCAGCCAGCCATACCTGCCCCCAGGGGAGAGGAATGGTTTGCACTGGTATTTCAGCAAGAAAGCACACAATAGCATCGTAGTCACAGTAGGAACTGGGGGGTTGGCTGGCCGTCAGGGCCAATTGGACCAATGCCTGCAGAAAGTCTGCTGTGCAGAGGCCAAAGGAAGCTCCTGTGGTGCCCATGAAGAAGGCTTGTGGTGGCTGTGGCCAGTGCCTGAGCAGGGTCCAGTTGCCCACTCTGAACCTCTGTGTGGGGAACAGAGCTGTTCTGTCCTGGAAGAGGTGTGTGTGGGCGCGCGTATGTGTGTGCGTGGGCGTGTGTGCGTGGGCGTGTGTGTGTGTGTGTGTGTGTGTGTGTGTGTGTGTGTGTGTGCCCCCCCTGCATAGGCTGGATACCCACATGGCCCCTGCACAGCATCCTAGCCTTGCCTCCCAGACTCAGCTGCTGCCAGCCGCAGAATTCAAGCTAGCCTCACACAGGACCCCCTCGCAGCCCATCTCTGCTTCGGAACAGCCTGCTGTAAGGCAGGTAAATCAGCCCTTCTGCTGCTCTCTCTGGGGAACCACGGCCCAAAGACTCCAAAGAGACCCAGAAGCAGGTGGGTCCCACACAGTCGGGGCGGGGCGGGGATAGGACGGACGGACTGCTTGTGATCTAAGAGACGGGTGACACAACAAGAGGTTTCCATGGCACAGCTGAGCCCCCTGACGCTTCCTCTTCACTATCAGGTCTGCTGGACACGTCTCTGGGTGTGTGTGTGTGTGTGTGTGTGAGAGAGAGATTTTTCACAGAGGTTTTACTGATGCGGGAAGACCTGGCCGAATGTGGGGAGCACCATGCCGTGGCCTGGGGCTCTGAACTGACCACAGAGAAGAAAACAAACTGGGTGCCGTTCACCTCTGCTTCCCGACCGGATGCCGTGTGAGGTGACCAGCCGCCTGTAGCTCCTGCCTCCTCTCCCCAGATGGACCGTACCTTAAACTGTGAGGCAAAGCAGAGCCCCCCCTTTCCTCAGTTTGCTCTTTAGGTACCCTGTCACAGCAGTGAGGAAAAGGACTTGCGGCAGGTCTCCAAAGGGAAGTGTCTGATAATCCAGTTGGGAGGAGGAGGAGCAGCAACACGACTTACAAGAGCTTCATCAGAATCATGCTCAACTCTGCATTCATAAAAATAAAAAACAGCGGGGCGGTGGTGGCGCACACCTTTAACCCCAGCACTCGGGAGGCAGATGGAGTTCGAGGCCAGCCTGGTCCACAAAGTGAGTTCCAGGACAGCCAGGGCTACACAGACAACCCCTGTACTTTGAACCCTACAAGGAAAGCCAAGACAGACAGACAGAAATCCAGAAACTGTGCAGACCAGGAGACAGCAGGTCCGAGGCGGTGCCCAGCTCCACGCAGAGCATCACAGACACAGCCCCCTTCCTGACAAGGCCTCCCACAGCTCTTGACACCCGCACCTCCCTTCCATAGCCCTCTCCTCTCCTTCCTTCTGGGAGGTAGAAGTTTTTATATGAGTCCCAGGCTGGAGTCTTAATTACCAAGTCAACTTTTCATTCCTTGCTGGAAACTTGGGAGTCTCCTTCAGCTCAGAGCATGAGGAGATGCCTCACAGCTTGGTGGAACCCCTAGATGGCCTCAGGCTTCTCTTGTTGACAATGCCTCCTTAAGCCAGAGCACCAAGCTCGCCATGAATGCGGTCATGCCAGAGGGAAGCAACTCTGCCCCTACCAAGGGGCTGTACCTGGGAGGGCAGCCAACCCAGAGCAGCATGCACTGCAAACCCAGGACCACCGCTTTGAGGCACAATCTCAGGCTTCTGGGGACACTGCCTACTCCCAGGCCATCCACGGAGACAGCCCAGCACATCACCACACACCCTTCTCTTCATTGCAATCATAAAATCGTCTCTTTTTCCTTCCTAGTCCCAACCCTTGCACAATTGTTAGCCAGTTCTTGGCTGGCTTGACGGCATTTCTGGAAAAATCACTACCCAACTTGGATCCTAAGCACAAAGCCACAAACCTGCCACCCCGGCCAAGGCAGGGGCGGGGGCTGAATTCTCTGGATGGCACAGGAAGACGATGTTAGCCCATTGCAAGCAAACACCTTCCAAAGCCAAACAAAAGCTGCCCACAAGTAAACAGCATACGGCATAACCCCTTCCAGCGGCCACTTAGGAGAAACCCAAGTCCATGGCCAGCAGCAGGGAAGCGGGCTCTAGGCTGCAGCAACTACAGGTGCTCCCTTCCCCCGCAGCAGTGGTGGCCAGCTGGGCCTTACTGGAAGCCTGGAGGTAGGGAGCCAGGAGCCTGTACTGGCACCAGAAGCCACAAGGCAAGGCAGCAGCAGAGACATGGATAACAGCACACTCAGTTGTTACCGGAATTGTTCCCATTCTGCTTTGTAAAAGGCCAATTCAAAAGGCTAATTCACGGACAGATATCATTTAGCCTCCTTCTTAAAGACGAAGTACAGATCTTGGGCTGTTGAGATGGCTGAGGGGTATAAACATTACCGTGCTGAGTTCAAGCCCCAGAACCCACACAGTGGAAGGAAAAGCAGCCCCCCAAAAGTGATCCACGACCGGAGACCACTAACGGCCATCAGAGCATACATATGGCTTGTGGTTCATGCTGTTTGGATGACAGACTTGCACCCAAACCAGGAATCCAGTGAGATCTGCGTTCAGACACGACACCTCCAGCCACGCCTCTTTTTCATACTTAGAGTCCGTGCTCATAAGGTCTGGGGAGAAGCCAAACACAGGCCTCAGACCCTGGAGCCCCCAGCCCCCACTGCCCCCGCCGCACATCTGCCCCCAACACTGACCCACTTCCTGCAAAGGACTCTCCATATTCCTGGCCCGTGGCTCAGCTTCCCGAGAAGCATCTGTGGGGAGCTCCCATTTGACCCCTCAACCCCCCCCAAAAACCTGGAGAGGAAGCAGACAGGGTCACTGCCACCACTCAGCCCTCCCCGGGGAACCCAGGGCTGCAGATTCTCAATCAGCAGAGTGCACCAGCCCTCCCCGAGCCACGTGGGCAGGTTTTCAAAAACTTGGTTCTCTGTTGGTGTCTGTAAGGTTGGGGGAAAAAAAATCAAGGCCACAGGACTTCACCAGTGGCTCCTCTGCGCGCACCCAGGACTGCAGGTAGGGGGTGAGGCATTCAATCTCCACAGGGAGACTTCACTCGAAGGCGATGCAAGGCATTTTAAGAGCATGAATGCACCACGATGCCATAGAACCCCGGGGGTTCACACAGCTCTGAGAAGGCAGAGGGTCAAGGGCTCTCGCCGGCCTGTCAGGTCTGCCTCCCCCCACCTTAAGAACTGGTCAACAAGCATTTTGCTTAGATGGCTGTTCAGCTGCGGTATGGGGGTGGGGGACACTTGAATCCTTTATCACCATCCTCTTCCAGGGGCACCCCCAGCTCTGGGCGGAAATGAAAGTCAAACGGCCTCTCAAGAAAGCTTGAGGGGTAACTGTGGCCTGGGATGCCGCGTGTGCAGGCGGTGCACACCTTTGAGGCCGCCAGCCCCGGTGCCCACCGCCCCACCCCGCAACTCCTACCATGTCCCCGCGGTGCTCTGGCAGGTTCCCCGGACTCAGCCTACTGACAGTCTCATCCCGGAGCTCAGATTTCCCAGGCTGCGACCGACTCTGGTGCACACCTTTCCCGCCGCCAGATCGCGGGGGAGGACACACGGTAGGATGCTCCCTCCGCGCGCGGGTGGATTTGAAGGGTCCTGCAGCCACCAGGCACCTCCAACAGCTGGGGACTTTTGCAGAGTTTGCAACGCTCCAGCCTAAGGCGCGGCCCAGCCTCCCCAGTCCCCAGAAAGCTCGAGAGGGGGAGGCCCCTTTCACAATAAAAGCCCTACCCGCTTCTGGCCAGCCGCAACCGCCTGGAGCCAGGGCCCGGGTACTGGGAAGGAAAGGGTCCCCGGCGGGCCGGGGCCGAGGCTGGGCAGCTGGGCACAGAGGAGCCCAATCGCGCCCCTAAGGTGTGCGTGTGCAACCCATGGGGCGGGGCCGGGCCGAGGATTCCCACATTGCCTCTCATCTCTGTGAAAACTCAGGACAGGTCTGTTAGTGGATGTCTCTGGTTGCTTTGGGCACAGTGCCCAGGGGCGGTTTGGGAGACAAATCCGTTAAGCCCGGAATGAGAACCTCATTCAAGGGGCCAGAGTAAGGAATCAACAGTGGATACCGACCTGGCCACTGATAGTCCCTTCGTGTCCCCTGGACCAGCTGCAGTGGGGCCCAGATGTCGGATGCCCTGGAAATGGAGTTAAAGGGGTTTTGAGCTGCCATGTGGGTGCTGGGAATCAAACCCCGGTCCTCTGCAAGAGGAGCCCAGTGCTCTTAAGGGCTGAGTCATCACTCCAGCCCCATCTCGTTTACTGTAATTAACTTGATATAATCTAGGATCAGCTGGGAAGAAGTCTGTGCGTGCGTGCGTGTGTGCGTGTGTATGGGGGGAGAGTGGGTGTCTAGGTCAGGTCGGCCTGTGAGGGGCCTTCCTAACTGTACGGAGGCAGGGAGCTGCTCCCCGAGTGGGCAGCACAGTTTCCCAGCCTGGAGCTGTGGACCGGGAGTCAGCTGAGCCTCCAGTGCTGTGCTCTCGACTGTGGATGGGGTGTGACTGGCTGCTTCCAGTTCCTGCAGACTCGGCTTCCCCTGGGTGGTGATGAAATGTAACCCGGATGTTTGAGTGAAATAAACCCCTTTTCCTTGAAGCAGCTTTTGTCGGGGTGTTTTTTAATCCAACGACGACAGGGAAGGAAACAAAAACAGTTACTTCATGTAATGCTTTCATATACTTTTAATTGCATTTTACTCAGTGTGTGTCTGTGTGTGTTGTGCGTGTGTGCACGTCTGTGAGTGTGTGGACTTGGCGGTCGGAGGACAGCCCGCTGGCGAATGCTCTCCCCTTCCAGCATGTGGGTCCCTCTGTGCAAGGCCATCGGGCTTGGCAGCAATCGCTTACCTGCTGAGTCATCCTACCACCCTGGTTGTGATATTTTTACATTTTATTCCAGTATTCTCAACGCTGATCTCAAGTAAACTCTACCTCACTGCTATCTACTAATGAATAAAGTCTGAAGCACCTGTGCTAGCACACGGAACAAAGTGACTGCTCTTACAGAGGACCGAAGCAGTCTCCAAATCCCGGCACTCATGTCCCCTGGCTCCCTCTGAACTCTGCATTGCACTCACCAGCACGGGCACTGAGGAGCTTCCAGGTAGGCAGGTGGGGTTGGGTCCATCTGGGCTGGTCCCAGAAGCGAAAGTACGAGAGATGCTTTTAAACAAAGATTAGAAGGGAATGGCGCCTTTGTGTGGCCGACATTCTGAGCTTTGGTTTAGCTTTGGGGCCCCCAGCCTTGATCTCAGGGTGAGACAGAAAACTCAGTTTGAGACAATGAGCATACATGACCCCACAGTCTAGACCCTTCTTCACCAAGAGCTATAGGCCAGTGCTTAGAGCTTCTACCTTCACAGCCAGGCCGATCCCACCTCTCCACTGGGCTTCTTGAGGGCACTAACTGAATAAGCATCCTCCTGCCTCCTGCCAGGCGACAGCGCAGAGGGACTCTGGTCACCACAGTCCTCATCGCCTCCTGCACAAGGCTGCCAATGCAGCAGGTGCTGCTGCTGCAGCTTGGATTTGGAAAATCCCCCAAAGCCTACGTGTTAAGGCCTGGTCCCCGGGCAGTGCTGTTGGGACAGAGGAGCATATTTAAGAGATGACTCCCCTGTGGCTCTTTGGTCACTGGGGGTGTGCTCTCGAAGGCGATGCGGGACTGCAGCCTCCGGTCTGTGAGCCCCGCTTCTGTCTTACCAAGCCGTGCAGCCTCATTACAAGTAACCCCAGCCCCTCTTCTCTTTCTAAACTGCCTCCAGTATCTTATCAAAGTAATGGCGAGGGTTAGCGGGGCTGGGATCCCAGGCTGAGTAAACAGGGGGAAAGAAGCATCCACCTAGGCATGAGAACTCGGGCTCATATTCCCAGCACTCTGGAGGCTAAGGCAGTGAGATCACTGCAAGTTCAAGGCCAGCATGGATAATCCAGTGAGCCGCAGGCCAGCCTAGGCTACAAAGTGAAACCCTGTTTCCCAAAGGCGATGGGTGAGAGGGACACCAAGAGGGTTAACCAAAGCTAAGGGTGTATGAAGAAGCCTTACGAAATCCTACCAGTTTCGTACTGGGGGATTCACACTGTGGAATTTGATTCAAAAATCATAGGCAGTTGTGATTTCCCCGGTGTGGGTGCTGGGAGCCAGACTTGTGTTTGAATGCTTAGACCTAGTTGGTGGAACTGTTTGGGAAGGATTATGGGTGTGGCCTTGCTGGAGGGGTGTGAGCTTGGGGCCATCTCTTCTCTTCCTTCCCTCTGCCTCGTTTTCAGACAAGAATGCAAGCTCCCAGCTCCTGCTCCGGCACCCATCTCCCTCCTGAAACCATGCCCCCACCATGACTGTCATGGACTCACCCTCTGAAAGACCCCAATCAAATGCTTTCTCTTATAAGTTACCTTGGTCATGATGCCCCTTCATAGCAGTATAAAAGTAAGACAGTGGCCAGTGCTCTTAACTGCGGAGCCATCCCTCCAACCCCAAATTTCCTCCAGTATACCGTAGCAACCTAAAGGTCGGGGCGGGAGGTGTGTGTTTACAATTAGCCCTTTGAAATATGCATCAGAATTTGCTATATTATTCTCTCCTCTGGGACTTCTGGTGAGACTCCTTGGGTTATATGATCTTGGAAGATAGGTTTCTGGGTGGCAGGTGGCAGGCAAGGTCCAATGGAGGCTGTGTGCTTCCTATACGGTGGCACCGAGTAAACACCTGCACTCCAAGCGGGGGAAGGGAAGAACGGGGACAGTCGTGCATTCTCGTCAGAGCAAAGCAGCAGACTCCAAACTCTGCAGATCCCTGAGTCTGCACTTAGGACTGGTGACAGAATCATCTAGGCTCCGGTGGGCTTTGGCAGGCAGTCCTCGTCCTCTGTCCCTGCTGCCTGTGCACCCAGAGCCTCTAGGGCCAACTCTACTCCATGCCAGCATTTTCCTTCGATGGGCATCAAGATGCTGACAGGTCTAAGATCCTGGGAGCGCTGTCTTCACCCTCACAGCTTCAGAGCGGCCTCTCTGCAGATTCACACTGACACACTGTCTGGCCTCAACAGTTTTCTGCAATCTTGGAACTGCTTCCGGTATTTCTCCCTGACTCTTGCACCTTCCATGCCTGCAAACCGGTTCCTTGCAGACAATGATGCTAGCTTCTGCTGCCCCCTAGGGCTGGAGTCTGGGACTCTGAGATCACTATTCCCTGGCCTTGCATGCCGACAGTGCAGAAATTCTTCCCTTAGCTTTGGTTTTTTTTTTTTTTTGGTTTTAGGAGACAGGGTTTCTCTGTATTGTTTTGGAGGCTGTCGGTCCAGCCTGGCCTCGAACTCACAGAGATCCGCCTGCCTCTGCCTCCCGAGTGCTGGGATTAAAGGCGTGCGCCACCAACGCCCGGCTTCAGCTTTGGTTTTAAGCAGGGCATTCAGCGGTATTATGCTGTGCTTTCTCCTTTCTAACGAGTCAGCATTTTCACCAGACTTTAATTAATGAGTAGGGTCCTGCCCTCTCCAATAGTGCTGATTTCCTTTTAGCCATGACAGCTGCTCTCTTTAACAAATGTAGCTACTTTGGAAGCTGCGTCGTGTAACAAACTCTCAGTTCCTTCACTAGACTGCATTTTCCAGCTCTCTGTTCCACTATTTGCTGACTGCGGACCTGGATAAGACAAGTATCCATGCCACATATGAGATGCTATCTTCTCTCACAATTTCTGTCACCAAGTTAGTCCTTTTCTCATACTCAGCCGCACCCAAGTTCTTGGGACATGAGCAGAAGATCCCATCAATTTTCGACACAGCCTTTAGCCCAGCTCCCGATGGAGTCCTTGTTCACACTCTGGAAACATAAGGGGACGTCCTCATTTTTCTCAGCATCTTGGCCTTCTAAATCCCACCAGAATGGTCCATCAGCCTCTGCTTCAGTGTTCGAGGACTTTTCTACCCCCAGCTTCCAAACTCTTCTGCATCCCTCATGCAAACCGGTTCCAAAGGCCTAGGAACCACATGTTCAGATTTATCACAGCAACAGCCCCTCTTCTGGTATCGGTTTTACTGCCTTTCTCACTGTGCAGACCCGGCATCTTTAAGAGGGGCTTGTTTGGCTCCAGGTTTGTGGGCAGTCCAGCATACCAGGGAGTGCTAGCAGCAGGAGTGTGGGTGGTTGGTCACACTGTACCTGTCAGGAAGCTGTGAGTTACTGGCGCCCTCCTGCTCGGTCCGGAGCCCCAACCACACCTACCTCAGTGAGCCTAATAAATGAACTCACTCAGATGTGCCCAGGTTTCCATCCTGATGAGATCCCGTCCATATGTCTTCAGGAGAAGCAGTCTTGGGGATGCGCACATTTTATGAGTTATACCGTTCAAATGGTTGTTTCCAGTCTGTGCAGTGCCACCTTGATAATACAGTATTTTATCGAGAAACTTACACTATCTCAAAATTTATTTATAAAGGTTCAGTTACAATAGTTTTCCCCAAACAATTTAAACTAAGTGAAGTGACTGTCAACACTGCAGATACCTAAATGCAGAGCAAGTCTGAAGATGCATGAATACCAGTTGATCCTGACTTTGCTTTTAACTTTGAAAACATTCTATTCTCTGTGAATTTCACATCATGCACCTAATCCCACTCATCTCCCCATCCCTCCCTATCTGCCCTCCACCCTTGCAAACTCCCAAAACAATCAAAACTAACAAAAAAGAAAAAATGGGGAAAACTTACTGTGCGTGCTGCGGGGTGTCACAGTTTCAGGCGGGACACCCCTCTGTCCAGATGGCTTTGCTTGCGGATGTTGGTTGCAATGAGTCACTGGTCTGGTTCTGGGCCTCTGGCTTCTGCTGCTCTGTGGATACTGCATCCTCACTGGGACTCCTCTCAGATGTCCTGCTGTTGCTGCGTCATGGAGGTCTGCAGCTTTGGTTCTGCAGGACGGGCCCCTTCATGCGCTCCAGCAGCTCTTAAATGGGGGTAATGTTGGGCTGGGCCAACTCAAAGCCCTGGATCTGGGCCTGGGTGGTTGTTGGGTGGGTTGTCAGCCAGTTCCACACCCATGCCACCAGGGCCAGCTCTCCCACTTCTCCCAGGCGAGGGGCAGGGACAGGTCACCTGAGTTCCAAAGCCAGTGACAGGTGGGACCAGCTCTCCCACTCACACACTGGGGCTGGCTCTCCTGTGCCGCCCAGGCAAGGTGCAGGGCCTCTCCTGAGTGCTGCGGCCAGTGAGGGGTGGGGCCAGCTCTACATCTACACCTCCAGGGCCAGCTCTCTCATGATGCCCAGGTGTGCTGGGGGGGGGGCAGCTCTGTGCAGTCCTTAGACATCAACGTGGCCCCGGACAGCGGCCCAGTGCAGGAGCATCAGTAGGGGGCCATAGACATTGACCCAGGCCCCTGCAGCTGCAGGGCCACAGACTCAGACATGTCCCTCCGAGGCAGCACAGGCCCAGGCGTTTCCATGGCGTCAGGGGGCACCGACTACTCCTGTTTCTCCACACTCTCCACATCTGGTGTCTTGACAGTGCTCCGACAGGGCCCTTTTTCTTTTTTTTTTTTTTTTGGTTTTACAAGACAGGGTTTCTCTGTATTGTTTTGGAGGCTGTCAGTCCAGCCCGGCCTCGAACTCACAGAGATCCGCCTGCCTCTGCCTCCGGAGTGCTGGGATTAAAGGTGTGTGCCACCAACGCCCAGCCTTTTATTCTTTTTTTTTTTTTTTGTCAGGCTCTGCCTGTGCTGGGCCTCTCCAGCGTCTCCCATGCCTAGCCTGCCGCTAAGAAGCACGAGTCTCACTGAGTCGGTCTTCCTTATCATCACTGCCTCTCTGGGTGTCCTCCGCAGTCCACTCCAAGCCCCGTGAGAGCGGGGGGAGAGCAGGAAACTGCAGCTCCATATCCCAATGCCGAGAAGAGGGCTTGGCCCATGGCCATCACTGCCCTCACCTCTCCAGTTCCCCCTCTTGAACCAGTGAGTTTGAGTGATTCTCCTGCCTCAACGCACACCAAGTAAGCTAGGAAAGAGGTCTGCCACTACCCCTAATGTGGAGGGTCCTAAATAAGGATAGCATAATAGAAGCCATCTTAATATTCATACTGTATTCTTAGAGACTAACACTTAGTTAAGTTTCTGTTTATCTGTGTCTGCTTATCTTCTTGTACAGCACATTTTCAAGGCCTGCAGTCCAGGCTCTCCCACCCTTCTGCCATCTGGCCTGCACTCCAGACTCCCCCAGCTGCAGACTTGTGTCCTTGGAACATACCCTGCTAAGGAGAACCTCTGCTCCCCCGCCCTTCTGCTACCTGCCCTACTTAAGCCCTGCTGGTACTTTCAATAAACGAGACTTGATCAGAATACTGTCTTGTCTCCGTCTCTCACGTCTCTTGTACCCCCATTCTCACTCCCTCCCCAAGGGTCCCCGTGGACTGACCCCACGGGCCGGGGCACCCTAACTCCCAGCTGTGTCAGAACTGGAGGACAGGAGCAGAGCTGGGCCTGGGGGTACAGCACTCTGAGCAGCAGCAAGCCAGCATCTAGTCCAACAGGGGTTTCTGCAGCCGTACTCTACAAAGGACACACACAAAGACTAGAGGGCTCACCCAGGACTGTTTGCCACAGGCCTTCACTTAGCAGTCGATCCCAACTCGGTGCAGAGCCCACAGCATCTTAGATTCTCCGAGCACTCCTCTCGAGAAGTCTGGTTCAGTCTTAGGACCAATCTGTGGGCTGTTGCGTCAGTAGTCACACTTCTTTTTCTCTGGACTCCAGCCCAGACTTGAGAGAGACAGAGAGACAAAAGAAAGGACACGAGGGCCTGCTTTGCCTGTCATAATCAACAACTTTAATGAACTAAAAGCCCTCCATCTACTTGGATGGAGATATGCAGGACCACAGAAAACGGTGCACTTGGCAGCAGGGACACGGCTCAGACCTCGCCTCCCTTACTGCTGTCTTCAGCACCTGACTTAGAGGAACGCCTTCACTCTGGACGACTCTGCTTCAGCCATTAGAGCGTATTTTCTTAGCTTTGAGATGTACCCTAAAGGAGAGGGGGAAAAAAATCACACTATCTTTAAGCTACCTTTACATATTTCAATATAAAATAAAATTTAATGTTATCATAAAAAAGCAAAAATAATTTCCTTGTTCTTTTTGTTACTACACAAGATAACACTGTACCAAATGTATAGATGCAGTAACTTTGCAAATCTGAGAAATATTTAAAATTTTATTCTAAATATCCCTCTAAATAAAAGCATTTTGATGTACAAAACACTGAAGATCATGTAAGTAACCTCAATAAAACTCATTAGGGCACACACAAAAAATGTAAAGATGAAAACGGACAGGAGTTTCTGGGAAGACAAAAGAGATTAGGTAGTGCAGGGATATATTCCGGGTGATGGGGTAGAGGGTATGACCACAAGTAATGTACTCTGTATGAAATGTCATAGGAAACCCACTGTGTATGACTAAAATACATTAGAAACCTTCTCTTGAAAGCTGAAGAAATAAGTTAAATGGGAGCGCATAAAGGGTGTGACTCAGTGGTTCGGTACTTAGCTAACATACACCTGCAGGGCCTTAAAAATACACACACACTGAAGGAAGGTGCGGTCCATCACAGCTTACGTGAAGCAATGGGTCACAGAGTGAGCTAGCTACACATTCACATTTGCCATTTGAAGTTGGCGAATAACTGTAAGCAAGCCCTTCAGCCCGAGACCCGAGACCCAAGCAGAGACCCACAGGCAGAAAGCTTACCTAGAAAAGCCACATGGGCAAAGTTCTCAAGCACCACGTCCCTGTACAGGGTCTTCTGATTCAGTGCCAGGCTGGCCAGCTCCTGCTCTGTGAAGTACACAGCCACATCTTCGAAACCCTGAAACGACAAAGAATAGCTCTCCTGGCATCAGGCAGTCATGGGGAGCAGCTGTATACTGCTGAGGAAAATACAAAAAGCACAGACTGGAATGACTGTTTTAGAAAACTTCTATATAGCAGGTAATAAAACTAACCAAATGTGTCTTCCATGAGCTAGCAATCCACACACGCGCATGCGCGCGCACACACACGTGCACACACACACATATGCGCGCACACGCACACACACGCACACACACACCCCTATATCCATCAACAGTCAAGACTGCAGCTGGAGTGCTTGTCTAGGGTCTTAGGGTTAGTACGGCTGTGATGAAACACCACGAGCAAAAACAAGTTGGGGAGGAAAGGGTTTATGTGGCTCACACTTCCACATCATAGACCATAATTAATGAAGCCAGGACAGGAACCCAAACAGGACAGGAACCTGGAGGCAGGAGCTGCTCACTGGCTTGCTCCCCATGGTTTGCTCAGTCTGCTTTCTTATAGAACCCAGGACCACCTACAACACCTGTTTCACAGCATGAAGACCTGAGTTTAGACCCCCACCACCCACATAAAAGCTGGGCCTGGGGGCAGGTATCTGTAACCCCAGTGGTGGGGGAGGGCAATCCCAGTGGCTTAGGAAAGGGCATAAAATGGAACATTTCAAAGTATTAACGTAAGTGATGGCACATAAATGTATGTATTTCAAAAGTGAGCTATACAGTTAAAACATGTATGTAAGTTAAAGCTCAGTGAGAAATCTCTAAACTATATATTAGTGTAAATGCACACACAGGCATATGCTTGTATGTAAACATTTACACATACATGTATATATACAAGCACATATGTATCACTGTACGCTCACACATATATGTACAGATACAAAGACAATCCAGTTTACCTTAGGCTCTGCTTTTACAGAGATATTTTCCATCATAAAAATCTTTCAGGCCAGTAGAAAAATACAGGTTTAAAAATTTCGGGACCTGAGGGTAAACAGAGAAACTGTTACTAATAACAACTCTATTTCACTTCTCTTACATACACTCCTTGATCTCTCTGGTTCTGGAGGCCCTGTAAGTATTATTCATCACTTAGTTCTTGTCAGCGGCAATTCTAGTCTTAACAAACGTGACATAGCAGGCACATTGGAGAATGCAAAATGGAAGAACAGGATCATTCAAGAAAGGTGTGATGATAATATGTGCTGTTAAAACTGTAACTTCAGTAATCCAGAGACACCACCAAGGAAGGTAGGGGAGAACAGTGAGCAGAATGTTAGGAAAACCAGCATTTGAAACAGTTAAAACGCTAGAGACTCCAGATACAGAGAAGGAGGAGCTCTACAGATGAAATCCATTGAATGCTGGAAGACCTCAGAATCAGCCTCTCCCCATGCTACCTAATAATAGTGCTTATCTTTTTAGTAATACAACTCAAATAACTTAAAGACATTTTATCAGAGCTAGGTGGCGCACGCCTTTAATTCCAGCACGCTGGAGGCAGAGGCAGGTGCATCTCTGTGAGTTCCAGGACAGCCTGGTCTACAGAACTAGTTTCAGGACAGCCAGGAATACACAGAGAAACCATGTCTCGGAAAAACCCGAAGACAGTTTATCAGAGATACTTTCATGTTCTCTGAACATAAACTGCTTGCAATATATTTGTTCAATTTTATAACAATAGGCAGTGAGACGGAAAACACCGTGTTAAAGGAATCCATCCACCTTCACACCGTAATTTCAGACATTGTAGCATAGTGAAGCAAACCCGTTTCATTTCTTAGTTGTAACTCCCACTCTTAGCCAATTCATCCTTCTTGATAATTAGAAAGTAAGCGTGTCATTCAAAATAGTGGCTGAGCAAGATTTACGCTTTGAAGACAACACCCGGATAGTGCACCAACATCTCACATAAGCATGGAAAGAAGGCATGAGGAGCCGCGTGGGGACGTCTTCATACACGCACAGAAAACGGCTGTGCCTTGCACACACTAGACGCCCTGTTAAAAGCGCACTAATACACACATGGAGTGTGGACCCCACCTCGGTGGGGAGGAACTTGCACGTTACAGAACTCTCGAGTTGTGGGGCTGGACGAGCATCACGCCACGTCACACGCCAATCTCCTAGGAACCACTCAAAGACGAAGTGTTTCTGAAATCCTCCAGAGGGTCACCTCGGGCTTGAGACTGCGACAAAAACTTCATGTCCTCCACCAGCCCTGCCCTGCGCCTCTGGTTGGCCTGCTCTTTGGTTCTGCCAGAGCCTTCAGGGGGGACACACAAACCAGCCCTGGGCCAGCAGGGCAGGACCCCAGCGGCTCTTCCTGCCAGCATCTCAGCCACCCTCCTGCCCAGCACGGGCCCACAGCGGCCTCTCTATCTCTCTCCCCCCCCCCACAGCGGCCTCCCCTCCCCAGCTCTCTCTCTCTCTCTCTCCTCCCACCACCTACCAGGGGCTGCACGCGGCCACACCACGCAGAGCAAACGACCACACCACACCTACCCTCCCCAGCTGCAACCCCCGGGTTTTAAAGATCACCGGCCGGAAATGCGTCATCACGCCGCCGGCCAATTCCCCCCTCCCTGGGAGCCTCTCTAGGCGCCATGGAGGACCTCGCAGTCTCGAGGCTAGCCCTCTGGCTAGGAGAGCCTGGTGTGGAGCTCTGCCCCTCGCGGAGGAGCCCAGCTCAGGCTCATTAACCAAGAGACCTGGCTGGGAGGGAGGCAGGGCGAGAAGGACGGCGGTCTGTCCGCCGGAAAGCTGTCTGTCCACCTGACGGCCGACTGTCCTCCGGGACGGCTGCAACTAGCCGCCCCTGACTCCTGGGAGGCCCGGCCCTCTCGGCCCCTAGCGAGCGAGCGAGGCTGGATTGGCTTGGGAATGTTAACGCCTTCCGCGAGGCCATGTGGGCAGGGCGAGCCAGAGCCCAGGGACGAGCTCGCTCACTCGGTGGCCTCGCTTGCTCGTGCCACGAAGCCCATTGGCCTCAGAACGGTGGGGCAAGAGAGGCGGGCCGAGGAGGAGCCACAGTGAGGGAGCGGGGCTGGCTGCACGCGGCTGCCTTTGAAACCCACTTTAGACCTTCCTTCCCATCCCTGGGGCCTCAAGAGACGCCATGCTCAACTTGTGTTAGAGCAGCAGACCCGGGGAGACAAGGGCTGCAGCAGCGCCACGGGTTCTGCTTAAGGGAGGCACCTGTTGTGGGGAGGTATGGGGTCCCGGTAAGAACCAGAGCCACTTGTAGACCTGTGCGACTCTAAGAGTCAGTGAGGCTCTGGAGAAGAGAGACTGCCATCAGCCGCCCATGCTGCAGTTGCTTGGGAAGCCCAGCTTGCAGCAGGACCACGGTTTGCCAAACAGGATATTTTAGCAGGCAGGTGGTGGTGAGAGTCAGGGTGCCGGCTAAGGTGGTAGATGACCAGACAAAATGATGTCACTAGAGCAAATATTTCCTGTCTGTCGTTTTTGTGAAGATCTGGGAGAGCAGACTTCAGGCATGGTTTTCAGAGGGCTGCTCTGAGAGGTTGAACTGAGAGGTTGTCATGTTTGCTATTAGAACTTTTGGAGGGGGCAGATGCTGTCAGTGTGCCTTTTGGCCGTGTCCTGAACCAAGGGGTCCGGTCTCTAGGAGACGAAGGGGGTTGTGTAGTTGAGGTTTTATTTATTTTTATTGTACGCATCTGGGTGTTTTACCTAACTGCACGCCTGTGCACCGCCGGCATGCCGGGCCGGAGGAGGCCGGAGGAGAGCGTCGGACCTCTGGGATGGAGTCACAGGTGGTTGTTAGCCATTGTGTGGGTGCTGGGAACCAAAGCTCAGTCCTTGGAAGGAGCAGCCAGTTCTGCTAACTGCTGAGTTATGTCTCCAGCCCTGGGTTAGTTTAAAACACAGGGTGCAGGTGCTGGAGAGATGACTCAGGTTAAGAGGACCAGAGCCTCAGTTTCCAGAGCCTGTGTCTAGAACACCAAACATATGTGTGTATACATGTGAGGATACACTCACACATGCACATAAATAAAAATAAATGTATTTTTTAAAGATCGGGTACAGCTGGGCGGTGGTGGCACACGCCTTTAACCCCGACGCTCGGGAGGCAGAGGCAGGCGGATCTCTGTGAGTTCGAGGCTAGCCTGGTCTACAAAGCTACAGAGAGAAACCCTGACTTGAGAATAAAAAAGACCAGGAACAAAGGTTAATAATAGGAAACTAAAGAATAGATAGAAGGATCTGCAGAAAGGGAACCATCCAGGGTTAGCCGTCCTCCCAGGCCGAACCACTGTCCCAAAGAGTCACAATACTGGCAGAGTTTGGATGCTCTATCTTGCCATTTCCTTGTTGTGTCTGAACTACTCTCAGCTGGTTTACATAGAGGCAGCCCTCTTCCTGGAGGAGAAAATTGGATACCCCCTTGGTCAGTAGGGGGGGGGTCCAGGACTCTGTGCTTTCTAAGAATGACACCTTCAACCTCTGGCTGTGACAATGGCAGCTATTCCATCTGGGGTTTTGGAAACAGTCTCAGAAAGCTTTTGGAAACAAGCGAGTTGGGGGTATATGCCAGCCACCTGCACCAAGGACAGAGGATATGCGTAGGGCACAAGAGGGGAGTGGGTGAGAAGAGGCTGAGGCTTGGGAGAGAGCTGAGCCAAGAGGGGAGATCACCACCGTTTGGTTATTGTGAGGTGTAAAGAGAAAGCCTTCCTGCCAGCCTGGGTCCAGAGCCGCATCAGTCCCAAATAAACACACAGGAGGCTATATTAATTATTAGCTGTTGGCCTTGCTTGTTTCTTACTGGCTAGCTCTGACTTAAGTATTTATCCCATAATTGTTAATTCTCTTACCGGAGAAGTTTCCGGGCTTCCTACCCCATGGCGGTTACATCTTGACTCTCTGTGTTTCTCCTACCCAGAGTCCTCCTGGAATCCTAGTCCCACCTATCTTGCTTTCCTATTGGCCAACAGTGCTTTATTGACATATACACAGGACTTCCCCATCTCCTCTTTTCTGTCTAAACAAAAAGAAAGGTCTTAACTTAAAGTCAAATTATATATAATAGAACAGTTATCAAGTAAGAACACAGTTACAATATTTTGTCTCTCAACATTTAGCAAGATTTAAAGAAAATATCATCCATCCCATCCTTGTGAGTCCAAAGTTCTATATGTAGCTAATCTTTTATAATAACTAAGGAAAACTATAATTATAACTATCTGTCTTCAACTCCATCAAAGACCACAGAAGGATAATATATAAACACTAGAATTGACAGAGACATCTTACTGTCTGGACAGTCACCCGAAGTTCCTCTGTAATGTTGGGGCATCCATCTTCAGCCCATAGGCCACAATGTGTCCAGAAGATTTCTCAGCAAAGCAGGAAATTTCAAACTGTCCATCTGCATTGGCATTCTGTCAGTCATTTTTCTGTGTCCTGCAGAAAGTCTCGTAGACTCTTCCATGAAGCTGGAACCCTGAAGGACTGAGTTCAGCAGTCACTTTCCTGTGGGTCCTGCATATCCAGTTTATACAGCAACAGTCAAACAGTCCAGGCAAGAGCAGCTTCTTGCCCAAATGGCTAATCTTGCCATGTTGAAAACAAACTCCATAGTGAGTCTCTTCGATGCCCATCTTCCTCTCAGACGTAATTGGTGCTGCCAGGAACAGACATTTCTCATTGTCAAGAAAAACACTAAACCATTTTAAATGCCATTTTCTGAAGTTATTGAAAGGTTTGAAGACTATCTATCTATCTTAAATATATCTCTGTATATCTAGAAAACCTAACTTACCTGATTATAAGTTCTGACTATTATAAGTAACTATCTATAATCTGTACCTAATTATGCATTACATTTTAAAAGATCAGTATAAGCACAATACTTAATCAAGAGGAGAAATATACATATCACAAAATTGACCTTGAATTTGTATCAATAAATGAAAAACCATACCAATACAAAGTATTCATTTCCATACCATAATCCCCTTTTACCTTTAAAAAGAGATTGGTCGTGATCATAATCATTAACCAATTATAAGCAACCCTATTTAAATGAAAACAAAAATTTATAAACAATTTGGATGTTGCTCATACCAAACTGCTTCCTGCTGATAGGGGGTACTGTCCATACCATGGGGATCATAACAAAACACAGAAACCTGGCTAAGTCATTGTTTTTGTGGTCTACAAGGCTGCATCATCTCAGCTGTCTTAGATGTTGGAACACCTGGCCCACTGCTTCCGAGAGTCTTGGTTCATCAAACACAGAAGCCTGTCAGTCATTTCTCTGTGACCTGCAGAAAGTCTAGTAGACTCTTCCATGAAGCAGGAACCCTGTAAGACTGAGTTCAGTAGTCACTTTCCTGTGGGTCCTGCAGATTATACAACAACAGTCAAGCAGTCTAGGAAAGAGCAGTTTTTTGCCGAAATGGCTAATCTTGTCATGTTGAAAGCAAACTCCATAACGAGTTTCTTTGATGCCCATCTTCCTCTCAGACATAATTGGTGCTGCCAGGAGCAGACATTTCTCATTGTCAAGAAAAACCCTAAACCATTTTAAATGCCATTTTCTGAAGGTCTTTGAAAGGTTTGAAGACTATCTCAAATATATTTCTGTATATCTAGAAAACCTAACTTACCTAACGATAAGTTCTATTATAAGTAACTTTCTATAGTCTGTATTTAATTATGCATTATGTTTTAAAAGATTAGTATAAGCACAATACTTAATCAAGAGGAGAAATATATGCATCACAAAATTGACCTTGAATTTGTATCAATAAATGAAAAACTATACCAATACAAAGTACTCATTTCCATACCATAATCCCCTTTTTACTTTAAAAAGAGATTGGCTATGATCATTAACCAATTATAAACAATCCCATTTAAATGCAAACAAAGATTTATAAACAATATGGGAATTAGGACATCACTCATTCCAAACTGCTTCCTGCTGGAAGAGGGCGCTGTTCATACCATGGGGATCATTACAAAACTCAGAAACCTTTATAAGTCCTTTTTTCGTGGTCTGTAAAGCTGTATCATCTTAGCTGTTTCAGTTGTTGGAACACCTGGCCCACTGCTTCCGGGGGTCTTAGTTCATCAAACCACAGAAGCCTGTAAGGAATCCTCAGCTTTTCATTTTCTGTAGAAACATAAGCAAAATCTCCTTTTCCAAGTAACATATCCCTATACTTAAATTTGAAGTCAAGGCATTTTTAAAAGATATAATTTGAATTAATTCAGCAGCATTTATAATCAAGTGTACTTTAGCAGTTGTTCCTTCCTGAGCAATCAAAAAACGGAAAAACACAATAGTGTACAGTATCCAGACTTTTTGTGTATTTTTCATCTTTACATGGTTTATTTATCTATTATTATTATTATATTTCTGTAACTTTTATTTATTTTTCTCTGAGACAGGGTTTTTCTTTGGAAATCCACCTGCCTCTGCCTCTGCAGCAAATCCTACTGGCATATGCCGGCTTCTCTATTCACCACTACGGCGTTTCTTTTTCTCTCTCAATCTTACATATATTTTTAAACACACTGTAAACCTTTAGAGGT